CGATTCCTGATGAGGTCACTGGATTTTTCAATTGACCTAATCCTTGCAGCCGCACTCTGGCCCTGGGGTCAACTCAGCCTCTAACAGAAATGAGTACCAGGAATCTTCCTGGTGGTAGAGTGCGGCCAGCACGTAAGGCTGACAACCTCACTGTCACCTGCGAGCCGATTGTCTAGATAATGCGGGAACCTTGACATCTCCCAATTGTATGGGCCTTCACAGCCTGTTACAGGGATACCTTTACCTCCCAAGTTCTTTCTTTTATAAGGAAAAACAGAACTACTATGGTTTCATGATTATTTCCTTACACACAATGGTGACAAGTCTTATTCTGGTCTCCTAAGTTATGACACTGTGATGACTGGTAGATGGTTACCAGCGAACATACTGCCTCTGGCTTCAATAGACCAGCAGAAAACTTTGGTAACCATGCCATAAGCCAGAAGACTATGAATGAATTTTACATAAAAACTGATATCAGGCATAATGTTATATTGCAGCTTCCTGTTGCACTGCTTAGATCTGACTTTGCATTTTGCTTTGATGCCGTCTGTGTGCAACGTCAATTAACATTCTCTCACAGTTTTTTCTTTGTTGTCACTAAATGTTTCGGCCTAACCGATCTTCTTCAGGTGTACAGGTTGTTGTAACCAAGGAACCTGCAGCTTACTGTGATGCTTTTCTGTTCCTGTTATGTAGAGGCCTCAGATTGCATCTGGATATGTGGGTTAGTCATCTGTTGATTATTTATGTGTCCTTGAGCTGGCATGTTTGTTGTGCTGTGGTTGATCCTCCACACAACAAATTCCTGCCCCAGCAAGAACAGTCAAGACAGCCACAGCCAAACAAAACCATGAAGAAAACACCAGCAGCTCAAGGACATCTAAATAAAAAACAGACGACTAACCCACATAATCACATGCAGTCCGAAGCCTCTACATAACAGAAACAAAACAGCATTACAGTGAGCAGCAGATTCTGCAATCACAACAACCTGTACACCTGAAGATGGTCGATTAGGCCGAAACATGCAGTGGCAATAAAGAATAGCAAGTCAATATTACCCGATGTTGAACATCGAAGGCATCAAAGCAAGACACGAAGTTGGATGATATCATGCACATGTGTTATCCTCCTACATGCAAACATAGTAAAGCAACAGAAGCAGTTTGTTGGACAAATAAGTATCAGTCTGACATGGTCACACACATCAAACTGACATTTCTTCCTGTAATACTGTACTAGTATCTTCCTGTCATGTTTCGGTCTTGACATGCAGAGATTTTCACTTCAGTCTTGACATGAACTGATTTTCACTTGTCTTGACATGCGCAGATTTTCACTTCAGTCTTGACATGCGCAGATTTTCACTTCAGAAATGATAAAAACTCCGTCCTAAGTGCAAACAATATATATTTATATGTCTTTGATCTTGTTCTTTCTACACTACATGTTTCGGCCTCTATCGGCCATCATCAGGTTTAACGTCGCTGCCACACTGAACCCAGTCTAAAACTTAACATTTAAAAACACAATGTCACATTCTTCGTATTATCAACATCTACATCGTTGATATGTGTCTGGTATGTAGATTATGTTTCACACGTCGCACCCGATATTCTTGTAGTAGCACTCTAAAAATCTTTAGTTATGATGTTTTTAAAACCTTTTAAAATTTTCTACAAATTTTAAATTTAAAATTCTTAGGGTTACTCGCCCTATGTCTACGTGCTGGAGCGGCTAGTTCTTGTTTTAGGTGTTATTTAATGTAGTCTTCTTGTGTGAGTGCCGCTGCTTGTCTGTACTACGTGTGCAACAGGATGCTTAAATATAATATTGTTTCACTTCAGTCTTGACATGCCCAGATTTTCACTTCAGTCTTGACATGAACTGATTTTCACTTGTCTTGACATGAACAGATTTTCACTTCAGTCCTGACATGCACTGATTTTCACTTCAGTCCTGACATGCACTGATTTTCACTTCAGTCCTGACATGCACAGATTTTCACTTCAGTCCTGACATGCACTGATTTTCACTTCAGTCTTGACATGAACTGATTTTCACTTGTCTTGACATGCGCAGATTTTCACTTCAGTCTTGACATGCCCAGATTTTCACTTCAGTCTTGACATGCGCAGATTTTCACTTCAGTCCTGATATGCAGAGATTCTGGTGGCATAGCTGCAAGAGAAAAGGCTGTCTGAAAGAGCCATGCATGGAAGATAGGGGAGCATTATGGATGTCAGAGAAATGTTTTAATTTGATCGCTATGACTGTACAGCAACAACTCCTTCCTCTTATGGCAGACAAGTCACTTGAGGTCTCGTGCTGGTGAGTCACAGGCCTGAAACAATTACATGAATAGCATTAAAAAAAGAGATTCTGATTTGCATGTGAATCTGTATGTATGATTTCAAACGTGACGCACTTTTAATTTCAACAGAATGTAAAACTTCTATGTGGCTTGTAACAACACAAAAAATTTATGGTTACATAACATTCCTGCATGATAATACTTGGCACCCCAAGAAACATGTTTACTGGTATTATCATGTTCAGTTTTTGCCTCAAGATTGAAAAATACAATTCACTGGTAAATATGTGAGACTTTGGACAAATTTGTCAAACCAGATCAAGTATTTGCTGGTATACATACTGGCCTAAAGAAAAGGTACTAATAATACCCACACACTAAGTAAATTTTGTTTAAACATATTTCCATATTAGAACACTGTAAATATATATATAAAAGTAAAGACTTCAGCTCCTTAAAAATGGGAAATTAATTTCCATTTCCTTACAAATGAAAGCCATGCAATACTGCATTACTTATATATAAAAAAAAATCATGGAAGAACTCATGCTTATTTTCCATTTCCAAATTCCTGTCCAACCAAAATTCCCAGTCAGTAATTATATAATTCTGTACTCTACATTTCAGTTACTACAGACAGAACACCATGATATCCATAGCCACATTTCTATTTTCACTGTTTCACAAACTTTGATGTCAGTACAGCTTTTATAAAATGCAATTATCTAGATTAGATTATTAGCAGGGACAAAATATTGGTTCTAGAGGAACTGGAAACAAAATGGAACAAGAATATTCAAGCACAATAACAAATGCCAAGAGCAATCAGCTCATAAAATGAAAATGCTGATCTTCCCCAGAACTCGAGTTATGTATCAGTTCCATCATTACAAAAACAGTGTTAACATTCTGCTCAACAATAAATAAAATATGGCTACAAACCACTCAAAAGACTGTGCACAGCATGGAGAATTGATGGGCGTCAACACAAACTTTCATACTGCAAAATTATTTGCAAGAAAGTAATTCAAAAAGTGAAGCTTCATTACTTACAGTTCACTATGACCAAGCTCATACTTACCAATAAAGAAAACTGTTTAACACAAAATTTGTATCTACTTTTAAACTCTCCTACAACACCAAATACAAACTAATCTATACTGTGAAGTGCTGTTTCGTAAGTACCTGTAATAATATTAATCTTTTCTTCTAACAAATAACGAATCATATAAAGATGCATAACATTTCTAAGGAGTCCTTCCCTCTCTCTCCAATATGATCCCATAATGGCATACTTCAAATTATCAATTTCTAACACGAATATTAAGAGATCATTATTTTGCACCTAAAATCAGCATCTATAACTTTGTCATCAAATGACACATCTGTTTCATCCCACAGCATACTAACTGTGAGTTTGTTAATTTTTTCGGTTACAGTGACGGGCTTACGTTTACTACCACCTCAAGGGGCTGAAGCACCGACACGTTCAACTATACCCCAACTGCAGCGGCACCTCTAATAAGTCTATATGATTCAAATTTATATAATCACGAAGATGTACAATGAAAAATATTTGTCAAGTATACGCGTCTCCTGCTTACTGAACAAATTTATATCAAAACAAATCATCACAGCATACACAGCAAGCTTTTACATTACAAACATGTAATGCCACACTACCTCAACGTAGGTAAATGTTACTAATTAATTAAAATCCTGTAACCTTAATTGAATTTAATATAACCAAACTCCTTCCACCCCCCCTCCCAACTAACACACGTGTCTACCGAATCGAAAGTAATTCTAACATAGGTTGCCATACATAGCACTTACCTCACTTACCAGCTTACCAGTACGTCGCACTTTTGCTGTTTGAAGCGAACTGTGTTGTCATTGGCCCAAATTCTGCAACGCTTACAGCGATTATGATAGTTCGAGATGATCACGTGGTTTGGCAATTGGTCTTTCGTGACATCTGTCGTCGGGATTATGACACTATCTGCAGATGGAGGCAGGTTTTGAACTGCTTTTATATATTGCTAAGATACATTAGATCTCAGCTGACTAGCCTGGATAGCTACGCTGTTTTCAAGCTCGTTGTCATGTGCAGCAATGGCCAGGCTAGGTTATTCTTCAGGAATATATATGCTTGTTCCACAGTCATTAATCTAGCCACTTCAAGTCCCTGTCAGAACCTAAATTCTATGATAATTAGACTGTTCTTGGGCTGGATAAATTTTGGCTTGCTTGCTGTGGGTGAGGGATGGGAGTAATGGGCTATTTAAGCCTGGAAACATGGGAAAATTAGGCTTTTCTCTGGCCTTAGCTAGGGCTCCTGCTAGTCTGGCTTAGCTATCCTAGGCAAGGCTCAAGGTGGCTGAATGCCCTGGCTGTCCAGTTCAGACTGAACATCTCACACTAATGCTAGCTAGACTAGGCTCAGGCTACATGACTGAGGGGGGTATCTTTCTAGGTTAAGGACTATGGAAAACTTGGATAGGCTGTACTGGTAAAGAAAAGAAAAAGAAAGCTAAATCTATCCCATTAACAGGCTGTGTAGGCCCGTAGTGTTGTAAGTCTTCAAGGCTTCAGCATTTTATAGAGAAGAATCAGTAACCATCCGTATGATATCTCTACACTCTTAAGTTATGGGCATATTTGGTATCAGAAGAAACTTATATTCAATATGAAAATAAAATTTATTTCCTGAAAAATCCTACTCTTGAAGCAGCTGTATATTCATATTTCACAAAACTGCAGAAAACATAAGATAGTTTCTTTCCTGGATTTCATCCTTGTGAACAAAGCAATAACCATTTGTGTTACAACATGAAACAGGTTGAGATGTACAAACTTATAAGATTCTTCAGCAGTTTCACAGTAACATTCCTTCTCTAACAAACATCACTACTCAAAGACGCAGATATGGTTCAGTGTCAGTCAGTATCCACATCTGTTCTTACTCATGCATTCCAGAACAAAGAGGAAGATATGCCACTTTCTGATGTGATAAGAGCTTCAGAGAGTTTACAAATTAAACAAAGAATTACAAATCTTACAAATTCTTGTGAGAGGTCTCGTTCGACTACAGTAATGCAGCCAAGGAATTACAAATAGTTTACCTCAACCCAGTACAAAAGGCTAAATCTCTTTTCCCATGTTAATTTGAGTTGTGCCACTTTTCTGGCACATCTCAGCGAATCTCTGATGTAACTAGAGCTGTTTATACACAACCACACAATTCATTAATGGTTCACTAAGAAGTTTTTCCATGATTGTTTGTGTCATACCACTTTTTTGATTATGTCTGAGTACACTACTGATTTAAATAGAGCTGTTTCCACACAGCCACATGAGTGATCAGTGGTTTGTTAACATATTTGCTAAGAAACTTATGAATGGTTCCACAGGTGTAAATTTGGTACTAAAAATTAAATTACAAAATCTTGATTTATATGTTTTCATTTATACTGAAGATGAATCTATCATATTAATTACTAGATTAAACAATAATTACTTGTCATGTATGGAGAATGGGATCTGCCAGTTACATGAATCTGCTGTTTTACTTTCACTTTCACTTTATTTTAAATTCCATACATCCTTTCAGGTCACGCATGCCATAGGATATAGAACATGTCAAAATACAAAATTTATACATAGAATATTCAGTATGATGAAATTTATCCAGATATATGATTATTGTTGTCACAATCATAAATTAATAGAAAAGACCTATTCATAATATAGAAGTTTAATGAAATTATCTCAATCACATAATGAAAAATATTTAATTTAACAGTCCAAATATAATACATTTCATCAGGAATTAAAAAATTAGAATATATAATAAAAATTCAGTATATATAATCAATCATTTCCATGGCAAGAACCTTAAAATTTGAAAACTATTAATTAACATATTCCTCTACAGGATAAAAGGAAATGAACTGTAAGTAAACCATTCACGAGAAAAGTTCTTGCAGAAACCCAATTTATAATCAAAATATCACGTTCTTCCTTTAATTCTTGCATGGACTATTCCCATACAATACCGCAGATGGACAAGTGAAAGATTTTGAATTCACAAGATCACAAATTCAAGTAGCCTTTACTAAAATGCTATCTGCATGATAGAGGGTGTTGCTAGTTGAACCTGGGAAAACTATCACATAACGGTAGTGCGTGAAAATAGACTTGTATTTTTTTAATGACTTTATAATTTTCTTAGAAATTTCTGCCAGCTGAATGAAAATCCTGGATGCGTGGACACCAGATAAACAGCAATTTACTGTACTTGTAAATTGGTAACTCCAACTCAGATGGCATACCTGCTTCTTTCTATGGATCTACAGTAATATTTTCATTCTCATACACATTCACAATGTACACACCCCTTTTATTGTCATACATCACGGAGAGCAGAAATCAGCACACAGTTTTGGCATCTTAAGAAGAACAGTTCTTTACGGTTTCTCATAACAAATTGGCACAGGCAAGATGGTACAGCCGTAAAATAATGTCCTATCTTGAAATTAAGATCTCTGTGTCACAGATGGATGATCTTCATGACAATGCGGGATCCATGAATCTTCTAAACGCTGTTATCTCCTGCTATCTGGCATTAGTCTTCTCTTGATGAGGTTCCAAATAAATTGGAGTGACATTCGATGGTTTGAATTTTCTGAAATAAATAATATTCCCTGTATTAGCAAATCACGTGTAAATAATAAAAATAACTGTCATGCTTGTTCATAACTTCACTGTTATAACCCCTGAACATAAAATATCAGAGTCAGAAACAAGCATCGATGTAGTCCTAAAAGTAAAGTGCTTTGGCACCCTGGCACACAGCTCCAAATTGAAATAAACGGACAGGAATCCTGATTCGAGGCAGTTCTCCTCATTTGCATAATGCTAACTCTGCTCTTTTAATTGCAGAAACCTTTAAAACACTGATCATGAAAACTGCGTCTTTAAAAGAGGCTGAGAATTTTATCTCAGGGGTAGAGATCAAAAGTGAAGTAATGTAAAAGGGCTTTTACATTCAAAGTCTGTAAAACCTTTAATAAAAATACTTTTGAAATGATCCTTTCAAGAATTTTCATGACTACAGCATTGTAATCTGTGAGGAATGACTGAAAGGAGTGTAGATTTTAATAATAAGTATTGAAGTTTGACAACACTGTCCATAATAGAAGTGTTAGGGCAGTGCCCCATCACCCAAACAGCAACAGGGCACCATCCTGAACATCCCTGCTTTAACTGCAAACCTAAAAACATGGTATAGTGAATACTGCAGTCTTGTGGTGTGTGATGGCATGTAGCTTGTTACATACCAATATGACAGATGAACCTGCTGCCTGTCATCATCAACTGCCCAAAAAACAGAGGCACTAAAGTTCGTTTAAAGAGACGGTAAACAGTGTCCAGGTCATCTCTGACCATACCTCCATACCTTATGAAGGAAATGAGATCTCCAGTAACATGACTCAGGTTCCAACTGTGTGCAGAAAAAAGAAACCAGTTAACTTCTGATGATAACGTAACAATCTGCACTGGGATCTGACGATGATGGACCCTCAAAAGGACTGAACGTTTCACTGAGACTCATATGAGCACTACAGTATTCATATTTGTGTTTCTAGAAGTCTTACTTACGAATACTCTGAGTCTGGCACTCCAATGACAAGCATTTCGCTGTCCTTCATGTGCAGTCTCCACATACTCTTGTTGCAAATACCTAATTTCAATAACTTGAATGTACTACAAATATACATACACGTATAACAGGGCACTATAAACGGGAGGATAAGTAAGCACTGTGAGGTGCTGCTCTCTAGAGGCACGTTATGACCATTATTCATCAGAGGAGGTAGGGTGAAGAGGAGGAGGTTGGAGGAAGTAGGGGAAAGAAGGGGTATGAAGAAGTGGCATGAGGAAGAGCATGATGTGGCAGAAGTCAGGAGGAGAATGGGAAGGCAGGAGGTGAAAGAGGAGGAAATATGGGGTGGAGGAGGTAGGGTGACAAGCAGGAAGAGGAGGACGTGTTTCGAGGCAGAAGGCAGAGAGGAGGGTTAGCTCTCTACCAACAGCACAGCAGGTCTGAACCATTACCTTGGCTACTTGCAGCCACGTTACAAAGTCTTTTGGTTCTTCCATTTTGATGAACATTATTATGATTTCACCCTGAAACAAAGAAGAAAATATACAGACGCATATATATATAACTTATATCTTACTAAATATCCAATTGGCCTTAAAACAATGAACATGTTGTAATGAGAAACAGACGTATGCATTTGTATGGTTTGAGGTTTTCATGGCAATGAAGAGCTATACTGTGATATCTGTGTTAGAACATATTGTAATCTGGAAGGCTGGTCACAGTGTTTCGGCGATACATGCTACTTCCATCCTCAGGATTCAATATTCAAGATGAACTGTCTTCCTCAAAATCATTGGCAACCACCAACGTCACAAGACAACACAGTGTCATAACACAGACATCACCATGTGAGCAAGTGAATTTGATAACTGGTGAAAATATCAGTCTGGGAAATGGTATTTGAACGATTTTTAAAATAAACAAAACACCATAATGATTAAATATTCATTCATTCACCAGTAATCTGTCAGAGGACAGGTCTCTTCAAGGTCTCTTCCAAAACAGTTCCTCCACTTAATGCGATCTAGAGCTTTCACCTTCAAATAAAATGATTAAATATATTAGAGAAAAATATGATGTAGTGAATATTGTGTGTGAAGGTAAACTTCACCTTTTTGTCTGGTATGAAGTTCTCCTTACATGTGATTTGCTGTGTTCCAAAACCAAGGACCTCTCTTGATCATGTCCACAATTAACTCCTCATAATTGTTCTTGTTTATGCTGTAAACACATAAAATAAATATTAAATATTTATCACAAGAAAATCAAAAGAAAATTCATTTCACTAGAATTTTAATTCTACTGCAAACTGATTTAACTTCTCAAAATTAGTATATCTTTGATTGTGCATCATTATCATGCTCAACATGATTTACACACAAAAATACGTTTTTGCTTTTGTGAAATCTTGTATTAAATTGTGTAACCTATGAAGGATTATCACTAGGAACACTATACTGGAGACCTTACTGATCACACAGGACATTTCTTCTATAAGCTTATTTGTATTGCACCCAAAAAAGATATTTTACAGAGAATCTAGAAAAAATAAAGACTGGTACAAAGAATAACCAACAACGATATCATAGTCATGTTAATATGGCTGATCGTAGACAACTAAAAGAACATGTGAGTGGCACGATGACAATACAGAGTTTCACAAAAATCCATCAGTTGGTTCACACACACATTATCGTGAGGATGGCACACACGGATGATAAACACGGTAGTCCCATAATCTTGTCTGTTTCCACTGAAAAGCCGCTTCCTCCTTGTAATTTTTTCTTAAAATGGCAATTACTGTGAGAACTTTTTTCCCTAAAGAATGTACTACCATTGGACAGGCTACCCTCCACAGTGCGACCTATCTTAAAAAACTGATATGCTGTTATCTGTGCTAACCTGAAAGCCTCCTTTGCATTAAGCACACGTCCATCATCATCTATGTAGTTGAGTTTAACATCTGGTCTGTAGCCCTCCTTCTCCTCTTTGAAGTCTGAGGTCGGACCACTGTAGCGCTCCCAATGCCCAAACTTTTCATCATCTCTGAAAAAGATAAAGCAATGCTGTATATTAAATTTCTTAATTAGTCTTGCTTGCTTACTTCGTCCTGTCTTGACCATTGTGTACGCCTCCCTAATACTCGAGTGGGTCAATCCCGAGAGACGAGATGAGACTTGCAGTCCAGTTATAGAGGAGATGACAAAGTATTCAAAGCTCAGATATTCTTTACCTTTCAAACTCTCCTACTCTACTCCATAATCAAAGCAAGTGGCCGATCTTTGTGCCCAGGACAACTCTCTTCCCTAAGGCCTGCTGCAGAGAAGACTTGACAGCTACTGGATGACTTAATAGGAATAAAGTGGGCACCATAAATCTGGACATGCTGATACACTGTACTCCCTCCAGCTTCTGTGCAATAAGATGCTAACAGAAGGTACACACCAAAGCACTAAGAACATCTGCCCCTACAGCTCAGATCTTACAGAAGGAAGAGCTGAGTTACACACTAACAGGCAGCTCTCTAGATGCCAGACGATTACTTGTCTGCTCGTGAGTGCAGTGCAGTGACAAAGCCCCCTTTATGACCATTCTCTCTATATATCTTCTATTCTGAATCCGTGATTCTCACATCCTCTCACCAGACAATGCAACAAATAATCTGACGACAATGGTAACACTAGCAGGGATGTGGCTCCATGAAAATGACAGTTCCTTGCAGGCCAAGTCACTCTGACTTTATTGCCGTGACATTTCAAGACAATATAAACCTGTATTTAAATTTTCGGTTTTGAGAAGAAGAAATTATATATATTTTTCTTCCATCTATACCATGTGTTGGATCCGAACTAAACTTAATACGGTCCATCCTATGTACCAGGCAGTGGTTCAAAATATGACCAACAGAAATAACATTAGGAGAAGTACCACACCATGCCCACCCTCCAGTTCAGTGAGGCAAACAGATAAACCAACTACAATACAATTTCCCCATGAAATGTAAAGCAAATAAGCTTAGACTGACATAGTGACAAGAAAAACATAGAACGAATAAATGGTAAATCCTATCTGGAGTTCATATTTTTGTGTCTGCATGCACGCCACTGCTGTAGTAGTCACTCATTCTTTCCCACTAGCACACACGTGTGTCTCATCCTCAATTGCATAGTTCTGAGCTTCGAGATGGGCAAGATGTGAAGCTGACAGCTTATTCACATCCTTGTGCTCCAGATAAACTTACTGCCTGAGGGCCTCTGCAATTCCTATGCCTACATCAGGTTCCACGTCCAAGGTTGGTACTTCAGCGGTCAGCACTTCGACTGGCATCCCATCTGTTTAAATCAGGAAACGAATAACTCAAACAAGCAAGGAATATTAAATTATGACTACTCATGCCACTCTGAAACGTATACAGATAATTACTGCATTAATATAAAACAAGCAAATCCCTATTTGAGGTTTCTTTATGTGACTGAAGAATATCTTACATATATATGAAGATAATTTGACAGGTTATTCCTGTGGTATCGCTGAATCCAAAGAGAATCTTATTCCATATGAGATAGCGGAGTGAAAGTAGGCATAGCAAACAGTTTTCTTTACTTCCTGAGACACGTAGGGTTTAATAGGTGTGAGTGCATAACAAGCTGCACTTTGCATGTGTAATTTCCAAGACAGTGTACTGTCTATAAGTAATCTAAGGAATTTTGTATAATGTGCTTTAAAAATTGTTTTGTTCTCACAGCTTACATCCAGGTTAATTCGTGGAACCAGGCGAAGAATTACAACGGCAAAAATCCTCATACCTCTCCTACCATTCCACTCCTCCTGACATCAAACGACAGTGACGCCCCTATCGGACAGACGTATAAGGATGGGGGCACAACAAGGAAACTGGCAACTGCAACGCAACTGAAATTTCCGAGAAAAATCGCAGATTTCACGCAAGCATCTGGTTTCCAGATTAACATGGGCACACTGAGGAAACTTATGTTTGGTTGGTTGCTCACATTGTCTTAAACAAAAATCTAAAATAGATTACTTCCAGGACCATTATCTATGTATTCTTGACCTCGGTATTAGTTGGAGGTGAGTGGTCAGCTTCACCTCCTGGCCACTTTACCCCTTGATGCCCATTGGATAGGAAGGAGGGTGGGTTCTAGAGCCAGTCTGGATGACACAGAAAAGAGAAAATCTTGCCCTACTGGGACTTGAACTCCAACCCCTCAGCCGTAGCCAGTCATTATACTGACTGTGCTGTCCTTGCTCCTTTTCAAGAGCACAAAATTTTGTTTATCTTTATTTCTCTTTATATTTATGTTAAGCGTGTTGTGTAATTAACATAAGCACACTGAAGTTCCAGGACAATCAGAAGCATGTTGTGATGCGGAGGATTGAATGCAGCATGGGTGATGGACATTTCCAGATATCTGGATTACCTGTTCTTCTAATTATCCTGCCATTTCTCTTTATTACCAAAGCTGAGAGTTTGTTGTATTTCAATTAAAGTGCATCAATCCATAAAAAGGCAGACAGCATGGAATTCATCAACTTCTTCCAATGTTACTTACATCCCCAACACATGTAACTTTCTTTTCTAACTAAGGAAGATGAACTTTATGGCTATAAAAGAATATGACAGGTTCACATGTCCCTTCAAACACAACACCTCGGTCAGTTTTGAATCCATCTATTGTGCTGTATGTCATATGAACAAAGGCAACATATTTGTCATGAGGTTGCTTATGAATAGCCCACAGTGATGATGGTAATAGAATCACATAGGCATATTCAAGCAGTTCACTGTAAGTGAAAGCTGACACTCGCAGCTTTGCGGTATCCTCTTCATTTGGCTCTTTTGGTCTACAAGGCATTGTTTCAGGTATTCTGTTACCAGTTATTTTAGTAGTTTCTTCTGCTAAAGAAACGGGAAATTCTAAATAACTCCTACATAATAATGTTTTTTTTATCTCTGCAGAGGCTTCAATCATGTTGCCTGCTAACAGGTCATACAGTTCAGTTCTGCAATGATCAGATGTGTTGAACACTTCAAATAATGGGGACTTTGTGCCCTCAGTGAGTGCTGAGTTAGGTCTTTCTTCAGAAGCAGAGTTCTGCTCCTCTACAATTTTCATTGTTGTTCTGTCATGTCTGCATATTGTGACTACTTTTCTAAAATGAGTGGATGTTCCAACAGCATAGTCACCTGCAGTTAGCTTACGCCTCATTTTAACTAAGGGTGTACTCAGTTCCAAACTGCGCCATTGAGCTAGAGCTCTGCTTCTCCTCGTAGCCTGTTTTGAAATACACTTCATTAAACATATTAATATAATAAGGTCAAATTAATTTCCTGAATTTTCACTCCTCAATTCAGTAACGTGTGTTCAACTCAGGCTGATAACACTTATGAGAAATTGTGGTTGTGTTGTGATTGCCAGTTTCCTTGGTGTGCCCTTGTCCTTAATCTTTAATAAAATCCTGAATCGTAAACAACTCTGTATGGTTCCCACTTACGTTCATTCAGTATAAGCTGTATCCTAAAAATAAAACATTGGGGCGCCAAATGAATAACAGATTAAACTGCTTAATACAAGGGTCGCCGCGAAGTTTAAGATATTTGGGAAAAAGAAGAAATCGAAATTACATTCACAAAATATTTAGAACCAATTAAATTTTGGGGGGATACTTTCTGCCATTCAGTTCAGAATCCTTCGACTTCCCGTCTGCTGTCAAAAAATCAAATGTACAACATTATAATTTTACCTGCTGTTCTGAACTCACCCTGAAGACGTAACATGTGGACGCTTGAGAACAAGACTGAGGAGAACATTTCATAGTTCACAACCCTGACAAGATATTAAGGTGATCATGTTGTCAGGTGTATGCGTTACCGTAGACAGGGTTTGGAATGGTAAATCGATTTATTGACCACTTATGCACATGACTCGTAACTATAAGTAATTATAAAGCTACTGCTAATCCACTCTTTACAAACCATTAGAGCACATGCTAAGTTTCCCAGTATGCTTTCACCAGCCGTTTATTGGTAACGGGTCTTAATTCTTCGGTTTCTGTGCTCATGTCGTTACTGTTCGGCGAATATTCCGCAACTGAACTCTCTCAGCCGACCTGGGGTCCTCGTTATGTAGCCTCAGGGTGGACCCAACAGAAAAAAAGAAACGCCTCCAACCAAGTACAGTACATTTTCGAAAATTCCACCGTCAACATCAATGCATTTTGCAACTCGTGTGAGGACATGGCGTGTTGCTCGTCTGTACAGTGTACAGTGTACTGCACAGTGAAATAGCTCTATCTCGGTGCAACTCGTGTGAGGAGATGGCGTGCTGCTTGTCTGTACAGTGTACAGTGTACTGTGCAGTGAAATAGCTCTATCTCGGTGCAACTCGTGTGAGGAGATGGCGTGCTGCTTGTCTGTACAGTGTACTGCACAGTGAAATAGCTCTGTCTTGGAAACCTTTCGGAAGATGACACATGTACGAGTATGTATACATTATTTTGTTTAGAATGACCGATACTGTGACCTCCAGGACACCCTGTATAGTTAGGAATTCATATTTCACGATCTTCACAAGATATCATGGATCATATAAAGGATGTGATGGGCGGGACATGTAGATCACATCAGTTGGAACACAGGATGATGGAAGTGAAATTGGCACAAACTACTGCCAATATCTGAGAGAACCTTCAGGTGAGCCGATGCGATAGCGTGCTTTCCATTATCAGTTGCCAGCCAGCCAGCGGTGTGCGTAGAGAGTTACGTGGTAAGTGTCGGCTCACGTCAGTTCCCAAGTCTGTGCCTCTACTCAGCTGCAGAATTCAGCGTGTCTGCTGCGTTTCATCTAAGTTCAGAAATTTTTCCTATAAATACGATTAATGTTCGGGCAGGAAACCAGCTTACAACTCAGGTCTGAGGTTCCCATGGAGGTGAGTATTAACATCATGATTTCCTTGAGCGTGACGCTGTGGAGTTTGGTAGATATAAACAAACGTTTCGGAGGAACCCGCATCTGCATGGTACTACCCTGAAGATGGAGGAAGCAGGTTCCTCTAAGGTCTAAGTACACGGCGTAACATTACAGAAGGCCACGACCTTGCCAATATTACATGTGTTTTATAAACAACTGACTCTGTACTCGTGTACCTCTATAACGGCAACAAGACGACTCGTCACGCCCCCTTTTTAATTCGCCCCTGGGAGTTGTGGCGCGGTCCCCATTGCCGGCCACGTAGAACCACGGACACGCCGCAGTTACGTAAGGCCGCGGTGACGTTGAGCATGTACGCTCCATACCAAAACCGTTATCAATATTTTAGCGAAATTCGTTATCAGACCTCTCGCATGACGGCAGACGGACATTTTGACCAGTTACCGAGCCTATTATATACATTGTAATGAGTTGTCGTGTTACGTAACACTCGGGGAATTTCTTGAGCAGCTGAGTGACTATCAGCTTCTCAAGAAGTGCTGTGTTCTACACAGGATTTAGCTGAACCAAAAGGTATGCGACGGCATGAGGCGTACACGAGGATAATATTAAAATCGACGTGAGAAATATAACAAGAGGGCGTTGAATGGATTCATCTGCCTCAGGATTTTCTTTTAATTCAATACTGTCCAGTTTTACGCTGCTGGATTGTGAATATGACTCGTTCTGAGGAATTAATTTTGTGTTTTGCCGGAACGCTGTTCGTAACCCGGCCGCAAGTCAGCTGGACAAACCGTAAAGACTGCAGCTGGCAATTTATCGCGTTTCAATATGGAGCGACACTTTTCCATCTTACGTTTTCTGTACACCATAAACAGGCAAACCCTCCGACGTCGCTCTCTGCTGCGCCTGCAGCGCGCCGCACTAGCCAGACACTTCTCTGAGCTTTTCTTTAACAGAAATCTCGACCTCTTAATTAGTAATTCGTCTGCACTTTCAAGGGTTAAGAGACAAGCGGGAAACAGGTAACAAAGGGCGTGCACTCTAGAAGAGTAGTCAATGACTCAGTTTTAAGGCCAGATTTGATGTTCCCAAGGCCGTAAATACGATCATTGCTGCCATCTGATAGGAACTTATCGATGTTTCGGAGAAACCAGTTGCTTTTATCTGCAGTGTTTTTGTACCCTGAACATGGGGGCAGCTGGTTCTCCCGAAACGGTTCTCTGTACCAGAATAGACGTCACATCCCTGGGGACAAGCATATAAATCAACCTCAGCGTTTATCTTTCGGCATATAAAGAATTTAGTGCCTTGGGGTTACTGTAAAAATTATTTGCAAATCTTTAGTGCATTCTGAGAATGTTGCTTCCACGTTCGAAAGATTTCCTGCAATGATGCACTTCCCTTTATCGGTGTGACCTTCTGTTTCAGAGTCCGTTCCAGTAGCAGCTTTCCAGAATATGAAACGGCGTTACATACACGTGATTGCATTGACGTTTATACTCGTCTTTGTATGGCTGTGGACGAGTCGCTTCCTTGTGGGATACCGAAAGAGTGAGGAGCCACCGAAACCTATAGGCGTTAATGAGCGAAATGCAGATGCATTTGAGCCGGAACACTTTGAGATGGAGCCAGTTCGTGGCAAGAAGAACATAATTTTTATAGAAACCAGATGTGCCATAAAGCCCAATGAAATTGAAGACTCCGGCTTGCTTCTAACGAAACGTCAGGCCTGCGCCATTGAGTCTGCAGCGAAGATGAACCCCGACGCCTCAGTGCACCTCTTGTTCACCTGCCCCATTAACGGCGGGATGGCAGCGTCGCCGCGATACGTGAAGGAGTTGTTCAGGTACACCAACGTCAAGATATGGAAGTTGGACATCCCAGGGTTCCTGGCAGGGACGTCGCTTCAGGACTGGGACTTCAAGGGACATCTCGAGAAGTCCGAGTGGCCAGTGGAACATTCCAGCGACGTGCTTCGGTACGTGTCTCTGCTCAAGTATGGGGGGACATACCTCGATCTGGACGTCATAATCAGAAAGTAAGTACATCACGTAGTAAGCATTGCACAGGAATTCATGCAGAATTTTATTGGGTAAACTTAGAAAGCGGCACGCTGGCAATATTTCGTTCTAAGTGAGATGAAGTAAGGTGAGGGGTAAAGTTAAAGCTGCCCCTGTAACAGGCTGTGAGACGTCGAGGTTCCCACATTATCTAGACAACCGGCTCAAAGATGGCGTTCAGATTGTCAGCCTTACGCGCCGGACGCCGTTTACCCCCCAGGAAGATTCCTGGTACTCATTTCTCTTAGAGGCTGAGTCGACCCCAGAGGCCATAGTGCCGCTGGAAGGGTTAGGACAACTGAAAAATCCAATGACCTCATCAGGAATCGAACCCGCGACCTACCGGCTTGTAGCTACCGTGTAAGGGAAGGGGCAGAGAAAATTACATAATAAGGAACTTAAATACTGTTAGAATCATCAGATGAAAGAGGAGATGGGCGGGTCGTGTATTATGTATGGGGAGATGCGAAAAATACATACACAATTTTGGTACAGGAAACTAGATGAGACCATTTGGCAAACACGAGAAAATTCAATATTAAAATGAGGATTACTGTCCTCTGAGATGTGACGCCGCGTATTTTAGCTGTACCTTGAAGATGGAGGCAGCAGATTCCTTCCAACGTTGCTACCCGTCTGTGAAACTACACGGCGTCACATGCCAGAAGACAGGTAATCTTCACAGTCACCGCCGTTCAGAACCTCAAGTCTACAACACCAAAGGGATCTTGAAGAAATAGGCTCGAAGGATGTAGATTGGATATAACTGGCTCAGAATAGACTCCAGAGACAAGCTCTTGTGAACAACACGATGACGAATCTTCGGGTTCCATAAAGGACAGGGAATTTCTTGACCAGCTGAGTGACCAATAGCTTCTCAAGTGTTTTTTTGTTTATGGAACTAATTAGTCAACCTAAAGGAAGAAGGTCAAATAATGAAATAAAGATAGGAAACAGAAGTTTTGAAAATGTGGCACAGTTCAGATATTCGGGGACAAGGATAACAAATCAAAACTTGATTCAGGAGGAAATTAAGAGGCGACTGAACCCGGGTAATGCTTGCTACCATTCAGTCCAGAACCTTTTGTCTTCTCGTCTGCTGTCCAAAAGACATAAAAATTAGAATATACAAATTTATAATTTTGCCTGTGGTTCTGTATGGGTGTGAAACTTGGTCTCTGACATTAAGGGAGGAACATACACGTAGATTGAGGGTGTTTGAGAACAGGGTGCTGAGGAGAATATTTGGACCGAAGAGAGATGAAGTGACAGGAGGCTGGAGAAAACTGCATAATGAGGAGCTTCATAACTTGTACTCTTCTCCAAGTATAATTAGAATGATCAAGTCAAGGAGGATGAGGTGGGCAGGGCATATAGCACGAGTGGCGGAGACGAGGAATGCATATAGAATATTGGTGGGAAAGCCAGAAGGAAAGAGACCACTGGGAAGACCAAGGCGTGGGTGGGTGGACAATATTCAAATGGATGGGATGGTATGGATTGGATTGGTCTGGCTCAGGATATGGACCAGTGGAGGGCTCTTGTGAACACCGTAATGAACCTTCGAGTTCCATAAAATGCTGGGAAGTTCTTAAGTAGTTGCAGAATTGGCGGCTCCTCAAGAAGGGCTCAGCTCCATGAGTAAGTAAGTAAGTAAGTAAGTAAATAAGCAAAGGAAACATACCGCCTCGAAAATCCACGCGTAGATGAGGATAATATTAAGAGGGTCTCAGAATGTGGATCAGTGACTGTCAGCTTACCTAGAAGTCATGTGTCGCTCCGAACCGTCAGTTCATGACCTGTGCCTGATATCCCAGCTCCTGTGTGACTCTGTTGCGGTCCGCAGGGCGCTGGGCCTACTGGGTACCAACTACTTAGGCAAGGAGAACTCCGACTTGCTGTCTGCCTGCGTGCTCAGCTTTTCTTCTGAAGGCATCGGGCGCCGCGTGTCTCAAATGTGCGTCGACGGGATCCTTACTGGCTTCTCGGGAGACTGGTGGAACCACAACGGGCCCGACCTAGTCACCAAGGTCTTCAAGGAGGTCTGTGGTGTAGACAAGGTCAGTGTAGCTAAGGGACCAATTTCTCACAGCGGTGAGCATGAAGGGATGTAATGCCGTAAAGTCTGATAGAAGTTAACCAATGTTTCGGAGAAACTTATTGCTTCCATTTTCAGGATCGAAGAGTAAGTTACGCAAGCAACCAGACAGACGCAAACAGAGCAAGTCGCATGAGGAAAACATGCTCACTTCTTACTGGTTCCTCATTTCCTTTACTCTTCGACCCTGAAGATGGAGGCGACATGTTCCTTTGAAACGTCGGTTGACTTTCAACGGACTGCACGGCGTTATATCCCAGAACATTAGACCTCTTATTAAAGATTACCTGTTTTCTGAGATGTGACACTGTGTGGTCTGGTATGTACTGCCTCTGTCTCCAAGGTAGGAGAATATCCTTACTCTTTTATCCTGAAGATAAAGTCCGTAAAGATGTAAGAAAGTGCACGGCAATCTCACCCCATCCGCCGTGGAAGCCTCAAACCTCACATCCGCTATCAACTCATTACCTTTGTGGTCTTCTGATTTATGACACCGTGTAGTCTCGTCGGTGGGCACCAACGTTTCGGAGGAAGCTGCTGTCTCCATCTTCTGCACTGAACAAGGAGGAACTATGTTCCTCAGAAACGTTGGTATCAACCTACCAGACTACACGGTGTCATAACCCAAAAGACCAGGATCGAACTCATGACGGCCGCGGATACCTCAGCTCGCAAAATTAATTTAACGCATTCGAAATAGAGGGCTCCTTTAGTGCGCACTACTCACAGGCCAACTCACGGACGGAGTTTCGGCCCCAGAGGGACAGCTTCAACACAATGCATGTTACTGGGGTTATCAGATGACTGGGACTTGTAGCACGCACGTAAAGCGAACACTGGGAAGACCAAGAAGTAGGTCGGAGGATACTGTTAAAATGGATCTTACAGAAAGAGGGTTAGTTGTGCGACAGTGACGGGATTTTGTGACCAAGGTAATGAGACGTTGGGCACCATAGAATTGTGCAACTTCATAAGCACGTCATACGGGACACTGCTACCGTGCAGAGTCCTCGGCCGGCTTGCGTCAGTCGGAACAGGACCAATATAATCTCACATCCTAATCCTTCAAGCCGCAGTGTGGCCCCTGGGGTCGACTGAGCCTCTAACAGAAATGAGTACCAGGAATCTTCCTGTGGGGTAAAGGGTGGCCGGCCGGCGCGTAAAACTGACAACTTCACCGCCATCTGTGAGCCGATAGTCTAGAGAAAATGTGGGAGTCTCGACGTCTCACAACCCTATGGGCCTCCACTGGCTGTTAACAGGGATAGCTTTAACGTCTTCATATTACCCCCCCCCCCGAAGCACAAGCCCTTACGCCTCTTCCACTTCTCTCTTCTCCTGTCCCTCATCTTCGTGTGCCCTCACGGTGTGCAAGTGCTGATTCCATTTCCGTGTGTATCAGGTCGCGGAGATGGACCCCGACAAGTGCCACGGTCTGAAGGTGCTGCCGGAAGTCAACTTCACCCCAATCAGCTACCCAGGCTGGGGGGCGCTCTTCACCACGGTTGAGGTCCACGAAATTATGGAGAGAGTAAACAGCAGTTTTGGCGTTCACACATGGAACAAGCTAACCAGAGACGAGGACCTCAACCTGAGGGTTATGCAGCCTTTCGGACTCCTGGCACTTCACTTCTGCCCCAAAGTGCATGATGCGAGCGGCAGATTCTTGTGAGTGCAGACAGTGCCGCGTGTTCACCTCAACGCCTCGACACACCGTGCCATTTCATATTGGTGCTTCCGGAAACTGTACCAGCGGCCGGAGCAACGTTTCCAGAAATATTCGTCACTGTAAAGCTATTTAGGTTCCTGCTGACCGACAGAGAAGGGGGAGGCGCGTAAGTCAATATATTATTTCGGGGGTGGGGGTTGTGATATCACTAAATTCGAAAAGCCCTGCCTTAGCCCTTTGACGCATCAAGATTATTTAAATATCAGGACTATTTACAAATTCATTTCTTACCTCACAGGAAACATTACGTCTCCCCTACAAAGCCCAACCGGTTAATGCTGTTTAGGGAAACAGTCGCTGTTTATTGTGAGAACCATACGGAACACACAGACACACTCGGTGGGCAGAATGCAGAGTTTTAGTATGTTCAGTCCGTACCTCACAGGAAACATTACGTCTCCGCTACAGAGCCCAACCGGTTAATGCTGTTTAGGGAAACAGTTGCTGTTTATTGTGAGAACCACACGGAACACACAGACACACTCTGTGGGCAGAATGCAGAGTTTTACTTTTACAGCGGGCAGTACATGTAGTAACCACTGTTCTTTAGACGGTGAACAGCATTTCGTGAAGCTCCTTCTTAAGTAATTTCTCCGTTGTCCTGTTACTTCCTCGTGCGTCAGAAGCTTACTGCCGCCGGAAAATCAGGATCAGGAGCTGACGAAGTGGACGCCCAAACTGGTTTGAATACAAAGCCTTCGCATTTCTTCACAACTGATATCAGCTCCAGATCCTGATTTTCCGGCAGCAGTAAGCTTCTGACGCACGAGCACGAGTAATGTGGACGGGCCTGCACACATTCCCAGACAGCTTCGGTCGGTGCTGTTGGTTTAGGAACAGGGACCGAACTCCGAAACAACTGCGGGGGGTCACGTGCTACGGCCCTGTGTGTCAGCTGCTTCCGATCCGACCGGCAGATGTTCCTTTGTTCCTTGGTGTGTGGCACCAAACGTTGACGCAACAGCAGAACTGCGACAGAAGTCAGGGTACCAATAATTAACTCTCTATCGCACAGTGGTAACGACACGCACCACCCTCTTCAACACTGAACTGCTCTGTTTTGCCCACACTGTGAATTTGTCTCGTGCGATTTTCACAATAAACAGCATGGCGGAGGGGCCAGTGCACTTCCCATGATGTGATTTTGTAAATACAGTAAACCCTCGCTAATCCGGTTCGAAACATGAAAAATGAAAAATTCTGTTCACAGTTGAGTACATACTTTGAAAGATACATGGTGTTTAGCAAGATGGCTTTCAGACTGTGTTGAGGGCAGCAGGAGAGACTGAAACCACGCAAGCAAATATCCGAGATTGGATTGAGCTGGATGAAGGAGACCCTGTATTTCTTAGTTTTTAAATAAAGTCTGTACAGTGATAATTTATATTTATTTTCATCATCACTAACTATACGTATATTATTAAATTTTATATTTATTTGGTTTCTAAGTTCCTTTCTGTCCTTTAGTGTTATCTTTTGTTTCGTTAATCCGGATGACCTCACCCACCAATTAATCCGGATTAGAGAGTGTTTACTACACTATTTCGATGAAGTTCAAATTTCAAAGCGTTTACTGCTCACCGCTTATGTCCCTATATAGCGTCCGTTTCTTGGCTTACACTTCGACCCTGGAGATGGGAGCATGTGCAGCGTCACATCCCAGACCACCACCAAGACGTCACCGAATAAATAAAAAAATTGGTTCGCAGTTCCTGGGGATGTTTCCAGCAGCCACGCCTGTGAAGCTGACCGACGACTTTCAGATTTGACGCCCCCAAGGTCCTTTTGGGTGATATTGTGGTAACAGTGGCTGCAGCTATGCGAGGGAGCGCCAGAAACTGGCCCGGCACGCTTTGCAGCTGGACTTGTTTCCACAGACCAGGCCGCTTAACCCTGTGAAGTATACCGCAGTTGTTTGATTGAGCTGTTTAATCGTTCAAATGCTGACGAAAACTTTCTGAAAAATGTCGTAACAGGTGATGAAATGTAGGTGTACGGGTAGGATATCGAAACAAAAGCCCAATCGTCGCCGCGGGGGGGGGGGGGAGAAGTCAGAGTCGATCAAATGAGGTGTTGTTCATTTTTTTATGGGAAGGGCGTCGTTCATCATGAGTTTGATCCACGTGGTCAGACAGTCGATGGACGGTTTTACGTGGTCATGAAGCGTTTGAGGGAGGCAGAGCGAAGGAAGGGGCCTGAGGGGTGGAGGACGAGAGAGTTGAGGCCGGAACAGGCAAACATAATGGCCTGCACTCCCGAAGTAAACGATTCAATTACACAAACTTCCATAAAATGTTGAAATACCAAATGACCTCAAAAACGCAAATAGACACTTTGACCCTCAGGAAATACAAGTCCACTGTGTGTCTGTCTGTCAGACGAGATAACATAAGGCCCAGCGACGCAGCTGCGAGAGGCAGTGTTGCGACAGCGAGTGCGGAGTCCGTGCAACCAGCAGCGTATCAGAGTCAGAAACTTGCAAAATACGTAATTCTGTGCGAGCGACAAGCGCCAGTGGAATGAAAGCAAGACGCTACCAAACCGAGACTCCTGCATGATAATACTGTGTGCATGTAAGTACTCATGCTAATGTTCTAGCCAATCTCACAGACTACAGGCTTTCTTATTGAGCTAGCAATCGCGGAGCTGGTAAAAAAAATCCTCTTATGGAAGCTGCACGTTCGTCACTATGTTCACAAGAACCCTGGTCCCTATCCTGAGCCAGATGAGTCCAGTCCATACTATCAACACCTTACTTCTATAAGACACTTCTAAAATGATTCTCCCATCTACGAGTATATCTACGTCTTCCGAGTGGTCTCTTTCTGTCAGACTTACCCATGCGTACAATTTTTTGCCGTCGTAAAGTTCTATTTTCGTCAAATTTTAAATAGTAGCACTAAATGCTAACAGCTGTTATATATAGACATCCAGAGGCACAACAGAGAAGTCATCTGAACAGCGTGGAAACAGTCGTTTTAGATCAAGCTTGAAGAACGTCAGCAGGATGAAGTTAACTGAAGTATACGCTTATGGTATGTAATTTGTCCGAATTCAGACATTCTGTAAAAACGGCAAACAAAACAGTGAATATTCCATACTTTATATTTCAAAATGGCTCAATGAATTTGAATTAAATTTAGTATGGGAAATGCCAACAACAATTTTCTTTGCGTAACTTCCAGTTTACATCTCGTTGAAACCGAAACTAGCGAAGTAAGATCTGAGGTTTTCACGGCGGTGATTTCTGGGATGTGGCGCAGTGTAGATCTTGTGCGAACCGACGTTTCGGAGGAATGTATCGCCTCCATCTTCAGGGTATTAAAATCCGCGAGCGAGGAACGAGCTTGAACAGGTGGCTGCAGTCGCTACTTTTGAGATCCTTTCCAATTCATCCAGCAATACTTAAACGACAAACGGCCTGAGCAACTGACACCGTCCTTACGTGCCTCAGAAACAAACCAACGGATCTGTAGTTGCGATTAACGAACATCCTTGGGGTAAGGACTGTGAAGGCAGCTGTTATCCTGAGGCTTACATAAACTCAGCGAAGCTATCTTATCAGTTGAGCGAGCGACTGGCAGCTTCTCGAGACGGACCCTGATACTGGTTCCACAGCTCCTGGACCGCGGGCCTCACGCTCATCCTAGCGAGGTCACAGGTTCAAGTCTCGGTCCCGACACATCTCTTTCCACTCCAATTCAGCTCAGACGGTATAGCGATGGGCTGGAGTTCGAATCCCACCCAGAGTCCTATCCAATACGTACCGAGGTCAAGAATACGTGGATGTATATATCCATTCCCCCATACTCCTTCACGTTTCTACGTTACTTTCACGTGCTGTGCAGAGCGCACGTGGCTGTGACGCAGAACAGCATGACCACATCGAGATCGGCCGGATTCTCGAGTATGACTAAGCCGAGATAAGGCGAGCGGTCAAGGTGCAGATTCCAAGTCGAGTGGCCCTCGTGTTCACAACTTCCTGAGCGTTCCCGTGTCACCGCAGCTCACACAGCGCGTGTTCAGGGCGCACTTCTCTTGCGACACCACGGCGGTGCCTTCTGGGATGTGACGCCGTGTCGTTTGGTATGATTGTTACCAACGTCGCGGGATAGAACATGTTAACTATTTGCCAGAGTACACGGCGTCTCATTCCAGTAGACATTAAGCTTCCTGCGCCATGATCACAGTAACGTCACTTTGTTCCATTCTAAGCACAGGACGGGGGCTAATATCGCCATATTGGGGCACAGGGCGTAGCAGAATTTCAACGAATTTTGAATTATTTCGACCAAAAAAATGAGTTTCAGAAATTAACATCGAGTGCAGACGTGTGACACAATTTTAGCAGGACTCAAATAATACCTGATGATGGCCGTATACGGCCGAAACATGTCAAAATAAGATAACATGCACACTCATAAGTGCATTTAAGACGGTAATACATATCGTCACGTGTATGGGGTGTGAGTATAGACGGGGTTTGCATTGCTGGTCAGGTTTCGTGGCCTCTTTTACATGCAGAGCGCGTCTACACTTTACACTTTACAATTCACTATTACACACACACACTAGTGTCCACAGTCTTGTCTTCACTGCCGTTGCTTGGTAGCGGCTTCCAACAGCGGAAGTTCCCCTTATTCTTGGTTCCCGAAGCATCCACAGTCTCAGCTACCAGCTTCTCACAGCAACAGCTCGCAAGGACTGAATCTCAGCAGTTTTCTAACGAACTCAGTCACTTACCAACCAACTCTTTTCACTAACTCCACTCAACCAACTGAACCCACTCAGAGTCAGAGTTATTTTACGACTGGCGGTTTCCCGCCAATCAGTTCGTCTTGGCGGCAAGGCCCTTGAGACCCACGACCAGCGAGTTTTTTTTCAACTGAATCCTTGCGGTCATAGTCCTTACGTAACATCCTCTCTGGCGAGAGGCTGGGTCTGTCGTTTACAATTGCTGCTGGCCCTCGTCAGCGCAGCCATTCTCAGATCCGAATCCCATGGGACTCATGACCCGACTACATTTTATTTTCTCAGATTCGAGATTCCCCCAACCTGAAGGGCCAGGTCCCCGTATTTACGAGTATATCCCCCAGGAACAGGGTGGCACAGTTATACCCCCAGGCACTGGGTTCCTTTATCGTCGCCTCCTACGTCTCGGAGGCATTCGACCCAACCTCCACCCGGGCTAGTTCTGTTCTAACTGACCTGCTTATAACATATCAGCACGGGCAGTACAGAAAACACCTTTCCTCTGTTGCTGTTCAATTCTTGACGTGGAAACACTTTGTTTCTGTGAATCCATTACTTAGTACCGGCTGTCGTACATTTTATTATCTCGCGGTCGTTGCCCAGCGACGGGTCTGCATGTCACAATATGTACAGAAGTGCGGTACAGAGTGTGATGTGTCCCCAGGGATGTTGCTATATTAATGCCTCGCATGTTGCGCTGCAGGTAGAGGAGTCCTGAGATGGCGGAGTCCAGGGGCCACTGGCTACTGCGGCGACTTCAGCAGTGGCCGGACCTCGCCAACCACACGTACACACTCGCAGCCTTCCTCGCAGCGTGCCTGCTCGTGCCCATCGTCATCGCTCTATGCACTGGTAAGCACGTGTCCTCTCAATGGGAAACAGCATGGAACGGCTGTTCCGAGCGCTGGGTAACACTACTGCTTCGTAGTCTGGGTGTTCTCACTTCAAATCTCAAGTGGGACACCGGACTGCTCCAACTAATATTATTTGCGGTATCCTCACTCCCTGCAAGCAAATGCTAGGATAGTATATTAATCAGGCCACGGCCAATTCCACGTCTTTTCCAATTCAGCATTGAAATCAACATACTAACTTACACGCAAAACGATAACTGGGAGCGCTCTTAAAGGAACCAGAAGATGAGGCACGAACACACAAATCTCAAGATGACTTACATTTCTTATTTAAAGGCGATTCTAGTAGCTAGACTATACATGATGCCTCAGGAGGAAAGGAAAGTATCCTGGGAGGTCACAGTATCGGTCATTCTAAGCAAAAAAGTGTATATGTACATGTGTCCTATTTCACTGAACAGACGAGCAACGCGCCTTGTCCTCGCACGAGCTGCAAGGTGCATTCATGCTGACGGTGGAATTTTCGAAAATGTATTATACTGGGTAAACTGTACCAACTTTGCCACTAGAACAATAAATACCGGAATTAGAAACAGTACGTAATGTCTCTTTCTTACCAACAGTTTTGGGAGTGTACAGTGACGGCCGGCCCGGTTCAGGTCATGCGGGATTTGTGGTGAACAAAATTACACTGGGGCAGGTTTTCTCCGAGTACTTCGTTTTCCCCTGCCAGTTCTCATTCCACCGACTGCTCTACACTCATCATCTATCATGCGGGGCTGGTACAGCGGGCGACGTACCAGGTGGAGTCAGTCCCACCCCACGCCACCCCACGAGAAGGGCGCAACCTGAATCCCAGCCACAGTACAGACTTGGAATGTTTTCAGTTGTGACCGGCGCACGGAGCTTCTGGCTGGGGCTGCTGAAGCGACGCTTCCCGAAGCTGGAGTTCGTGAGCAACGTCACAGTCCGATCGGCCACAGACACTATGAGGAACCAAGGCATCATCACCCTGCTGTTCACAGTTAGGGGGAGGGTCGAACCCACGCTCATCAAGGAGAGACTACAGGTAACGTACAACCGTGCAAGACGTCACCGGTATCAACTGCGATCACTGTTACTGCATCTGCCCCAGAGACTGACTCCATCATCATCATCCACTTTTGGGGGGGGGGGTCGGCTATTCCATGACGTCGGCGGCAGCTGCACTGCACAGCGTTGAACGGTGAAATGGATTGCAAAGGATTTGGAAGGAAGTGGCCGTGGCCTAATTCCGCAATCGCCTAGAGGGACGGGGTAAAACCACTAAGAGCTTCACTCAGGATAGCCCTGATCCGGCCGAAACTTGAACAGAGGACCTCCCGAATATGAGCTACACTGGATGATTCCTTGTTCAGAAAATCTACCATTCGCTCAGCTGGTCAAGAAATTCCCTGCGCTACGGAACCCGAAGGTTCATCACCGTGTTCACAACAGCCCTCCACTGAGCCAGGTCAACCGAGTGCACCCCTTTTCCCTCTACCTGGATCTTCCAATCTGGATTTTAGACTCAAATTTCACTTCTCATCGTCCCATTCGTGTTACATGCCCTGTCCATCCCATCCTCCTTAATTTGATCACCTTAATATTTCGTGAAGCGTACAAACTGTAGAGGTGAGATCTGGGCACACAGCTTATGAAACCGTGGCTAGCAATGTTTCGGAGGAACCTGCTGTCCCCATCTTCAGGAAAGAAGTGATAGGTACCCTGAAGATGGAGACAGCCTTCCAGACTAAGCGGTACCGTAACTTGGAATATCACAGTGTACAAAGCTCCTCATTATGTAACCATTTCCACGCTGCTGATGGCACTTCCGGTCACCAGAACTGCCTGTTACAGGAGGACATACTGAGGAGACGAGACCGGAAGGGGAAGCTGACGTTCCCGCACCTGCAGACGGCGCTCACCACGCGCTGGGGATGCTATGCTTGGCAGAAACCGGCCTACTTCTCTCTGGACAATCATCTGGTTGTCGGCAGCGCTCTCTTCCGGGGCAGGGCAGTTAATGACTGGAACATACAGGTCAGATGCGGCTTGCCTCTGGATTCGCATTCAAAAGGTGCTCGGTTAGAGTCTTGGTCGGGTCACCGGATATTCTTGAACAAAGGTAGATTGGTTTTCTTCAGTCCCTCCAGGAAAACGCCAGGTTAATACCTCGGCTAGGCCACAATCGTTTTCTTCCTTAGCCCCTCCAGTTCGTCTTTCATTTATCAGTGAGCCACTGGTCGCTGCTGGTGCAGTCGCGAAACAACGCACAGAACATTCAAAGAGCGGCTCGTGTCCCGGCACTGCGTTTTCGTGAGTCTCATACAATGCAGATGACATCCATTTAGAGTAAAGCTGTCCCTGTAACAGACCGTGGAGGTCCATAGCGTTGTGAGACGTCCAGGCTCTCACTTTTTCTAGACAATCGGCTCACAGATGGCGGTGAGCTTGTCAGCCTTACGCGCCGACCGCACCTTTACACCCAGGAAGATACCCGGTACTCAATTTCTGTTAGAGGCTGAGTCGACCCCAGGGCCATAGTGCGGTCAACTGAAGAAATCAATGACCTCATCGGGAATGGAACCGGTGACCTTCCGGCTTGTAGCATAGTGCCTCAATCAACTACCGCTAGTCAGTGTATATTCTGGAGCTGTCAGCATAGGCGGTTGATGAATTGGGAAGCACACGGAAGGATGGGACCGTCAATACATCTGTCTGGAGTGACTGAGGAGAACTAAACGCAGAACCACGCACATCTGTGCTGTACCTAAGCGAGGGACGTTGTCACTTCAGCCAGCCCCTGGGTCGGACGTGCGGTTTCATGTTTCGCATGAACTAGCAACACCTTGACAATGGAGACTGTAGTTTTGTCCGAAAACATCAATAAGTAGCTACCAAAATACACGGTGTCAATACCCAGGCAGCAAACATATGGTCATGAGTGCCGTGGAACTCAGAACCTAGAGTCACTGTGCTGGCGAGGGCCAGCATCAATTTTGAGCCAGTCAGTCAAGTGTCAAAATCCAGAATGACGCTATCTTAAATTTTACCGACATGATAACTTCAAATCACCTCGTCTTTGGCGGTTCTTTCTGTTGCACCAATCAGTATCCAGTAAGAGACTTTGGACTGAGGCTCTCTTGGAGCACTACCTTCTGCGATGTGACACCGTGTAGTCTGGTAGGAGCGTACCGACACTTCGGGGAACTTACAACATAACGTGCTAGATCTGGGGTTATTACGGAGGTGTTATGCGAAAAGTACTAAAAGTCTGGGATGTGACGCCGTGTAGTTTGGTAGGCGTTCTGGTGCAATGTAGAACCTAACATGCTGGATGTATGATTGCGAAGTGTACTAGCAAGCTTGATGCTTGATTCTTGCTTGTCTGCATGGCTTTCCCTTCGACCCTGAAGATGGAGACAGTACGTTCCTTCGAAATGACGGGAATCCTCTACCAGACAACAGGGCGTGATCCCAGAACCCAATTCACGGGACTAGTGATGTGTTTCCTCTGCTGCAGGAGTGTGTGAGCGACATCGTGTCCAAGTACCTTCCCTCCGAGCTGCCTCCCTGGCAGATCACCATCATACCCAGCACCGGCGGCCAAGAAGAGCGCTTCTACCTGCTGATCCGCATCCACCACCTGCTGCTATCGGAGGAAGGCCTCTGCCTCGGTGACCTGCTGCTTCTCGGACCTGAACAACCGACCATATTCAAGAGACGCCTTGACGAAGACGACGAAAACCCCAGAGATGAGGCCCCAGTCAGCAGCAGTCCGCTGACAGGGCTGTTCCCAACCCCCGTCGCTATCCCCAGACTCTACAGCAGCATCCGTGGTTTCATTTCAAAGCGCTGGACCCAACTCGCAGCCGCGTACGACCCGGCAGAAAACCCAGAGATCCTGAAGTCTCCTCCAGGAATTCAAATATGCGTCATTCTCATCCTAATAACGGCCGTGTCCATCACCAAGGAGTTGCTGGCACTGGCAAGGAGAACAGACGTGTCACTGTACAGGAAGATCTTGCGCATAAGGTCTACAGTCGTAACCGAAGCAGGAAAACGTCAGTGTACGCCCCAGCAGCTCTGCAAGGGGATAATCAATTCTCTGAGCCCTAAGCAACTGATCCTGTCCTGTGTCAGTGGGTCCTGGCAAGTGAGTTATATCCTCACAGTGACGCTTCCTGTGTTTGTAATGTCCGAGATTCGGTTCTTGGTATCTAGGAAAAGGAATTACGGCATCTCTGAATGTATACCAGAAACCGCATTCAGTCAGTGGGGTTTGGTTCTAGCGGCCATCAAGGAATTGTTCTGTATCTGCGCCATCGTGTACACGGCTCCCAGAATGTTGGTTCAGGAGCTCATAACGTCACACCGCGGCGCGATGCACCAACTCCAAACAGTCTCACTGTGCGGGCGCAAAGTAGTCGCATGGTCAGATCCGGTTCCTCTTGAAGTTATTCGTAAAATCAGCTTAAATGTCAGTGCCTCGACAACTGAAATCTTGCTGAGTTCTGTTTCTGGTGCATTGAGGGAATACTTCCTCCAGTTCCGCCTGCCAGTCCCAGAGTCGGTGCTCACTACAGCTAGGTACATGCCACTGGAAGGTCTCATGAGATCTTCACGAAGTGCTGACGACAGTTCCGGGTCTCCATCGGGTCGAGGGCTTCTCTGCTTGGCGCTCCCCACTTCTCCTCTTTATGATGATCCCAAGGAAAGCGTTCTAGAAACCCAAAGTATACTGAAGAAGGCTCGCCAGAGGCAGGCTGCAGTCTACCTGGCGTCTATTTGGCAGCTCGACGGGGGTCACATCACGAGGATCCTGCCGACCCTGGCTGTTAGACTTGTTCTCAACCATCTATCGAGGAGGTACGCCGTCGCTCTGACCCAGGTTTCTCCTGAAATATCAGGCGAAACTCGATACAGACTGATCTGGGGCCAGGAGGTTGAGGATGCCATGTACTGGAGACCGCCACAGTCCAATATAAGTGAGTACACGGACACAAGCTGTAATGTTATGCCATTAGAATAAATGAGTAGGTATTACAGAACATGCATATATTCCAGTCTGACCCAAACCAATGCCAGCAGTGATTCTTAGCGTCGCTCTGTCGACAGGTCTCTCTTATGTGACCCTGTGTAACTCACCACTTCTGTTGACAGGCGTGTCCCTCACCCTGATGACATACGGGGATACAGTGCGACTGGGCGTCATGTCCGATTCCATGATTGCGCCTCAGCACACCAACATTGTAACGGGATTCCTCGATCAGGTGTACCAACTTGCAGCACAGACTGAAGTGCCACTAGACCGCGCCAGTTTTTCTCACGTCTACCAACCGAACATTCCTCCAGAAGGAACCACCAACGCGCATGGATCACACACTTCTGGGTCTTCAGCGTCTGAAGAACTTCGGCGTTTGGCATCAAGCTATGTAGATCTGAACATTTCTACGCCTTCAGGCAACTCTGGGTCTGACAGCCCACCGTCAAGTTGTAGTTCCCATCCCTTGAACGAAGACAACGCCTTCCCTGTCATAGATTAGAAACGCACGCTTCTCGCCAATTGTAATTTCACATTTCCGTCCACTTCTGCCAACCGCGGCACTTGGCTTCATGTATCTCAGTCGGAATAGTGGCCAGGAGAATACGAGAGGAACAGGGGTTCGATTTCCGGCAGTGTCCAGTTTCCAAACCGTCTCAGGATCCCAACCAGCCTCCTGTCCCATGCATACCAGGGTCTCTTCTTCAGAGTAAAAAAGCCGTGGCGTGAAGCTGACAATTCACCTCCATCCAGTGCCGAGGTTGAGAATGCATGGACATATACTCCCTGTGCCCCACACGCGATGAAGGCGCTGCCCATTGGTTCCGCAGCAAGAACTGGCATATGGTGGTGGCAGGGCTCCAGTTCTATGGCTCGGAGGGACTGCGTGTCTCTTCCTGCGACGCTACTTATGCTCGTACTTTGTGTCAAATGTGTGTTCATATTTCGGGCGGGGGATGTGCGTGTATTAAAGGAACAGATAACTTAGTCCTTGGTGTGTTACCCTAACCCTCATTTTCTCATCTTGCCAACGGCTGTTGCATGACGACGGGTCTAAACAGAAGTACTTTAGGGACTTATTATACTAAATACAGTTTTCAGATAAAAATGTTCTAACGGGTGGCACTTACATGTGTCGCCAATTAATCTACAGAGAAGAAAACTGAAAGAAAGCAGTCTTCTGGGATTTGGCACCGTGTATATGTGGTGTTAACCTCCGAAACGTCGGTTAACACCACATATACACGGTGCCAAATCCCAGAAGACTGCTTTCTTCACAGTCACCGCCGTGAAAGCCTCAAATCTTACATAAGAAAACTGAATGTTCCTTTCCCCGGGCTGGAACAAGCACTCGACTCCAGATGTGGGTATTTTGAATCACATCGTGAAGGAAAGTCCAATGTTCCTTTCTTCACGCACCAGATGTAACATAGGTCCTGCAGGACATCCGACTAATGTTCTCATGGAATAACCCGTGACTACACTTTACAGATAGATCACTATCACACAGACTAATGTTATTAGCCACGGTTTTCACTGCGTTGCTTGGTAGCGGGTTCCAACGATGGATGTTCCTCTGCTTCCGGGCTCACGTACTCGCAGGCTGGCGGCCATCTCACACCAACCTCCTATTACTCTAACCGCTATCCCAGGATTCTCTCTAGACTGACTGGTCAAAAATGAAAGTCAAAGTCATGTTACGACCGACCGTCAGTCGGCCAGTCTATCTTGAAATAAAGCACCCGTCTGGGGTTTAAGGCCAGATCTGTATTACTGTATGACAGCTGCAGGCTTGTTGATGTGGGGCACTCTCTCTGACGAGAGGACAGGTCTGTCGTTTGCCAGAGTCAGTCAGCAGTAATAAGTTTGTTGTCAGTATGAACAATTTACAATTTACTTGTTATTAAATGTCTGTCTACACAACATAAACACAGCCTCTGTCAGTCCAGGCTCAGTACAGCAGATCATGCCCTATAGTTAGTAGCTCTTGCTACAACAGCAGTCTAGTCACTTGAACGGTTGTATGCTTGACCGCCGCCGAGTTTAAGCCTCCTATATTTCCTGTGTCGGGGTTCGCCTTGTCCAGTGTTACGAACAAAGACTGCCTGACTGACTGGTAATGGCAGATGGTCCTCGTAGACCGCATAGAAAACACCGCTTTCAACAGTTGTATTGTTGGGTGACGTCGATATCCGCAGGGATCGCACAGAAAACACCGTTCCTCTGTTGCGTGCGCAATCGTTGTTTACTGTGCTGTAACCTAGTAACGGCTCTTTCTTCAGTCACACTGCCACAATACATAACAAATACATGTTCGTGCATATATTATATTGCTGCTAGTCTCTCTTGCTTCAAATAGCAATTTTCACCGATTGAACCACCGTGTCTGTAACCGTTTCATACCGGGCTCTTGTGTGCAAGAGACGTCACGAACTTCGTGTCTACTGCTGCCATCTGCTGTCCCACCAAACCTCTGATTCCTAGCGTTCATACAAAGTAAAACAAAAAGTTATTGGCCAATATCCGTTAATGTACAGAAAACAAACAAGAAACGTGAGCAGTAAAAATAAATTCGTTACGTAGGTCCCACCGAGATTTGAACTCGGATCGCTGTGAGTTAAATCGCCTCAGAACCCACAAACTTGGCAACTTTGTACTTGCATTCCAGAGGTGCTCAGTTCGAATCCCGCTAGGGACACCGGCTATCGCGTTTGGGTCTTACATGATTTCTTTCCAGCCACTCCAGGCAAATGGGGGCATGCGGTAGCGTAGTTGGTTGAGGCACTATGCTACAAGCCGGAAGGTCGCCAGTTCAAGTCCCGATGTGGTCACTGGATTATTTTTCAATCGACCTAATCCTTCCAGCCTCACTGTGGCCCTGGGGTCAACTTAGCCTCTAACAGAAATGAGTGCCAGGAATATTATTGGGGGTAAAGGAGGCCGGCGCGAAAGACTGACCTCACCGCCATCTGAGAGCCGATGGTTTAGAAAAATTGGGAACCTCGACGTGGAGGCACATAGGGTTGTGAGATGTTGAGGCTCCCACATTTTCTAGACAACTGGCTGACAGATGGCGGTGAGGTTGTCAGCCTTACGCGCCGGCCGCCCTTTACACCCCAGGAAGATTCCTGGTAGTCATTTCTGTTAGAGGCTGAGTCGACCCCAGGGTCACAGTGCGGCTGGAAGGTTTAAGTAAATTGAAAAAAAAAAATCAACCTTATCAGGATTCGAACCCGCGACCTTCCGGCTTGTAGCATAATGCCTCAAACAACTACGCTACCGCATGCCCCAACAAATTAGTTACAAAAAAATTCTATCTTCTGGGACGTGACGCCATGGAGTTTGGTACAAGTGCATCGACGTTTCGAACGAACATGCTGCTTCATCTTCAAAGTCGAAGAGTAAGCCAAGCAAGTAAAGCTTCTTGTTAGTTACTTTATTTGGCTTACTCTTTCACCTTGAAGTTAGAAGGAGCACGTTCTTCCGAAACGTCGGCGAACTTCTGTCTAGATATTCGGCATCATATCCTAGATGACAGTACTTACTTACTCATGGAGCTGAGCCCTTCTTGAGAGGCCCCCAATTGTGCAGCTACTCAAGAATTTCCCAGCATTTTATGGAACATGAAGGTTCATTGCCGTGTTCACAAGAGCCCTCCACTTGTCCCTATTCTGAGCCAGATCAATCCAATCCATGCCATCCCATCCTATCTCTCTAAGATCCATTTTAATATTGTCCACCCACCTAGGCCTTAGTCTTCCCAGTAGCCTCATCCCTTCTGGTTTTCAGACCAATATCCTATATGCATTCCTCTTCTCCCCCATTCGTGCTGCATGCCCTGCCCACCTCATCCTCTTTGACTCGAACATTCTAATTACACTTGGAGAAGAGTACAAGTTATGAAGCTCAAATAACAGTACCACTGAGGTTAACTGTTAATGATGCTATTGCTTATGCCGTATTGTATGCAATCGGTTAACATAATTTTCTGCTCTTCCCTCGCGAATGCTGGGATAGTATCTCCAATTTCTTATCTATATTAATCTAAGAGAAGCTCCCGTCTGCACAGGTCAGCATCCACTTAGCAACAGTTTACAGTTGTCAAATTAATCTACCTAAATTAACGTACACTCTGATTCACTTTTATACCGTGTAGTCAGTGGAAAGTCAATAGAAGTTTCGGAAGAACATGTCGCCTCCATCTTTACGGTCAAAGAATAAGCCAAGCAGGTAGAAACTGCCCTCCACACTGTCTTCCCATTAGCATTTAACTCTACGTTCCTAAACGCTGAGAGAACTCTGGTAAGTACAGTCAGCTCCAATTCATTATCCCCTATCGTCCTACAGTACTCAAACTGTGGCTCTCATGCGGCGGTGCGGAAAAAAAAAACAAAGAAGTCAATACTTTTCCTTTACGAATACGTTAAATATAAACAAAACGTTGCGTTGAAAACTTGTAGGTCCCTGACCACTTGCGTCAACCAATCCACGTCTGTTCACGGGTCACCATAGTCGTCTCAGGTCTGCAGTGTGTTCAGGCGCCCCCGCGACACAGCAACGGTGATAACTCCGTGTCCTGTAGTCCGCAAGTGAACTATACCGACCGAGCGACAGCCGTTTGTCGGCGAAGTTTAGTGCCAACTTTTGCGGATAGAGGCTGTCGCGTGGTCAGCGCAACGAACCCCACGGCCGTTAATCTAGGTTTTCTAGACCGCAGCCGCTATTTGCTTGAAATAGCTCCTCAATTATCCTCACGAGGCTGAGTAGACACCGATCCAGCCCCACTACTTCCCAGAAAGAATCTGGTAGCGTCGGGAATCGAACCCGGACCTCTAGATCTGTAGCCAGGGACGCTGACCACTAGACCACAGAGGCGGTCAACTGAAAAAGTGGACAAATGAAATGCATCCTTTTATTGGAAGATCGGCTGTGCTGTGGATGAACTGTGGGAAATGTCCAACTTAAAGCTGCCACTGGCCAAATTAACCCTAGATGAGAGGATAATATTAAACTGCATGTTACAGAAATATGGAGTGGGGGCGTGGGCTTGATTCATGTGGCTCAGAATAGAGTTTAATGGCGGGATTTTACGAATGGTAACACGTCGTACCAAATAATGGGCAGCTAGGCGACTATGAGCTTCACAAGATATGTGCACCCTTGAATTAGTTTCGCTACGGTGCACTCAAAATGGACTCCTCTCGCGAAGCCAGGACAGTCGGTCTGTGCACCAAGATTCGAACGAGGAACGCCCGGTGACTTACCCTGACGCAGGCAGCTTCGTGTTTCAGAACAGTGACCCCTTGATCCATTCAGACATTGAAGGCACATTGAGGTTCCATGACGAGGCGCAGTGCTAAGCGTTATCGCAAAAAATATCTAATCGATAGAGAGAGATATCGACACTTAAATACTCGTTTCTATGATAACAGCGCAGCACCGTGACCCTGAGGACGTTGCGCCGTGCGTCCCACCGGCCATTTTGTCGAAGTAAAAAGCAAACGCTGCCTCGTTTCAAGTGAAGCAAATCATTTTTGCAACTCTGCACTCATATTTTTGCAACTACGTACATTTGAACAATACATATCGATCATGAGCCTGTCAAAGCACAGCGGCAACTGCGGTATACTATGTACCGACTGCTTGAGCATTTATGCGTTCCGTATGCTTCTCACAATAAACAGAAATCATTTCCACAAATATCATTAACCTGTTGGGCTCTATAATGGAGACTGAAATCTGTAAACTTTATTTGGATGCTGTATTTGAGGTTCTCACATTAGTAACCATAGTTTGAGATGTGATGCTGTGTAATCTAGTAGAAATTCATCGACGTTTCGGAGGAACGTACTATCTCTTTCTCCAGTGTAGAAGAATAGTGACTGACTCTTGTTCCTGAAGGTGAAGACACTATTTTCCGCCGAAACGTTGGTTCACTTATAAGGGACTGCACGGTGTCACATTCCAAAAGATAGTACTTGTTATTT